ATTTCTCGTCTAACACATCATCATATTTTTTCAAAATCTTTTCTAAATGCGTTTTACTCTTTTGCCTATATTCTTCCTCCAAGATAACATAATTTATAGTTATATTAGAAGGAGTTTTAACCATGAAAATTTTGTCAAATTCCTTTTGAAATTGTTCAATAGGCATTTTTGCAAAACGATCATCGGCTTTTATCATTGCTACTGCTAAATGAAATCTTATACCCCATGATTTTTTAGGTGAGCCTCCGGTAAAATGTTTTAAAACAGTTGAAGATATGGTTGGAATAGTCTCAAGAAACGAAAAGAAAGACATTTTAGTTTCAAAGAAAGATTTAATGGAAATCTATGTCTATTTATTAAAAATATTCAGTAGAGTATGGTGTACAGTTTCGGACAAATACTTACCCGAAAATTATACTAAATTTAGAGTTTTCTTTCACAATAAAGACAGATCAACCAGGTTTATTATTGAGTTCATAAATCTCCATTAGTTATACATTAGTTTTAATAGTATTATTCTTTTTCAAGAACAAATTATTGAAGAAATAATTTAAATGAATTTTTCCTTTAAAAATCGTACGTAGTATAATGATTTCCACACTTCTATCCTTACATTTTCGTACGTACACTATCATACTATTTTATTTTCGTTAGCAATTATATGACATATAACTAGAATTAATATTCAGATCTCATCGAATAAAAATAGTCTAGTTATTCTTAACGCTAACTATATTTGTCATCCGTAACTCCGATGCTTTAAATAAATTTATTGTCCGAAATTTTGTTAGCAATGCCATTAAAAGTTACAATATATCGGATCGTCGGGTGTAACACAACAAACCAATGATCCGATACGTAAAGTTATGCACTGTCATCTAAATCGGAAGATTGTCCCAATCCGATACGCAAAGTTATACACTGTCATCTAAATCGGAGGATTGTCCCAATCAGATACGTAAAGTTATGCACTGTCATCTAAATCGGAGGATTGTCCCAATCCGATACGTAAAGTTATGCACTGTGTTACGGTCACGGGAGAGACTTTAGATCTTCGTGGCCAATTTAGCAAAGGACCGTAATCATTAACAAGAAATAACTAAATGTTTGATTAACACAAAAGGCACCAAAGAGTACAACCAAATATTCCTATGTTGTGTCCCAGACACTCTAAAGTACTAATACACTAATTTATCTAGCTACTTAGCAAGTTCCAAACTTACTAATAGTCCAACTCAATAACCCGAAATACAAAACT